TCTAATTAATTAGATTAATTTTTTTAAACGAGTCCCGGCCCTAATATATATATATATATATATATTTGTATACACACTGAAACATATTTCACTTAAACCGATATATTCATGCACTTTAAACTTATCTGAAAATTGAAGTATGCTTGCTTGCAGTCTCCGAAGCCTGATAAGGATGTGTGTGTACAAAACACAACAAACTTACTGATATGTGCTGGGTCCAGGCTCAAGGGCGTATGGCACTCTCAACTCTTTCCAGGACATGCCGGGGCCCTGCCTGCCAGTAGATTTGTCGATATCTGTGTTGATAGGTAATAGATTAAGAGCGGTGAATCATAGAAACAGGAAGCGCTCAAACGTTTGTGTGAGTTTATCTAATTTAGCAGTGATTCCATGTCAGCCACAGCTTGTTACAAAAAACATGACTGATAGTGTGTTTAACAAACTTAAACTAGCTTTATTAAATGTCAGGTCTTTGGCAGGAAAAACATTTTTAATCAATGATTTTATCACTGAGCACAATCTCGATTTTATGTTTTTAACAGAAACTTGGATTGAACAAATAACAGTGCAGCTGTTCTTATCGAATCAACCCCTCCCAACATTAGTTTTATGAGTCAGGAAGAATGCATAAGAAAGGGGGTGGAGTTGCTATTCTGTTCAATGATTCCCTTCAATGCAGGAAGACATCGTATGGAAACTTTGATTCTTTTGAATATGTGGCCCTTCAGCTGAAATGCTCCTCTCGAGCTCTGTTCCTAAATATCTATAGACCACCCAAATATTGTGCAAGCTTTTTTGATGACTCTACTGAACTGCTGTCTATAGTGTGTATTGACTTTGACCGTCTAGTCATTGTTGGTGATTTTAACATCCATGTTGACAACCCCCAGGACAGAGGGGCTAAAAACTGTTTTGTGTTCTTGATAGCTATGGACTGACTCAGCATGTGACGGAGCCCACGCACAATAAGGGGCACACTCTGGACTTAATTATCTCAAAGGGTCTGAATATCTCTAAGGTTGTTGTGACTGATGTTGCACTCTCTGACCATTCCTGTGTTTTCTTTGAGAGCTCTATTTCTGTTCACAAAAATGTTCAAAAAGAGGTAACCACAAAGTGATATTTAACTGAAAATACTAGGGAAATGTTTACTCAGAATTTTTCTTCCACACTTGCCCCTGCTAACATCTCAGTAAATGAGCTAGTAGATCATTTTAATTCAAAAATTAAAAATGTTATAGATGCCATTGCTCCAACTAAGGTAAAGGAAGTGTCTGGCAAGAAAATATCTCCATGGAGAAAGGCCATGACCGTGAAAACAGAAAAAAGAGAATGTCGAAAAGCTGAACGCAGGTGGCGAAAAACAAATCTCCAGGTTCACTTTGAAATCTATAAAGAGAGACTTGGCCTTTATAATTTGGAATTGAAAAACGCACGACAATCGTTCTTCTCTGACATCATTACCAAAAACAAAAACAACGCACATGCCTTGTTTGCTACCGTCTACAGACTAACTAACCCCCCAGTGTCAGTAGCCTCTGAACTTCTATCCACCAGGGTGTGCAATGATTTTGACTCCTTCTTCACTGACAAAATTCAGAAAATCAGACAAGCAGTCAGTGCCTCTGCATCAGGAACAGCAAATGTGTTGTCCCTATCTCCACTTAACATCAATTCAAACACCATGACACAATTCCATCAGATGAATGATAAAAACCTAGAGGACATTATACAACTTCTGAAATCCTCCTCCTGCTGCCTTGATATTATTCCAACAGGATTTTTTAAAGATGTTTTGCCTTGCATGGCCTCAGATCTACTTCATATAGTAAACAAATCTCTTCACTCAGGTATTTTTCCACAGGCCCTGAAAACTGCAGTCATTAAACCGCTCTTAAAAAGGAATAATCTAGATGCTTCAGTAATGAACAATTACAGGCCCATATCAAACCTGCCATTTCTAGGTAAAATCATTGAAAAAGTTGTTTTTCAACAGTTGAGTAATTTCTTGCATTTAAATAACTGTTTTGATGTGTTCCAGTCAGGCTTTCGTCCAAACCACAGCACTGAGACTGCTCTTGTAAAGGTCTTTAATGACATCCACTTAAACACAGACAGTGGCAGAACTTCAGTGTTAGTATTATTAGATCTCAGTGCTGCGTTTGACACTGTTGACCACAACATATTACTAGACCGACTGGAAAACTGGGTAACAGTTCTAAATTGGTTTGAATCCTACTTAAAGGACAGAAACAACTTTGTTTCTATAGGTAAATACACATCTGAGTTGACAAATATGACATGTGGGGTTCCTCAAGGCTCCATCTTGGGGCCTCTTCTCTTTAACATCTACATGCTACCACTGGCTCAGTTAATGAAAAACAACAAAATATGTTACCATAGCTATGCAGATGACACACAAATGTACGTAACAATTTCACCAGGAGACTATGCTCCAATTCAAACACTGAGTAAGTGCATTGAACACATCAATGACTGGATGTGTCAGAACTTTCTCCAATTAAAGAAAGATAAAACTGAGGTAATGGTTTTTGGAGCCAAGTCAGAACGTATAAAAGTTAGCGCTGAGCTTCAGTGTGCAATGTTCAAAACAACAGATAAAGCCAGAAATCTAGGTGTAGTCATGGACTCTGACCTGAGTTTCAACAGTCACATTAAAACAGTTACTAAATCAGCCTACTATCACCTAAAGAATATATCTAGGATTAAAAGACTAATGTCACAGCAGGATTTGGAAAAACTTGTCCATGCTTTATCTTCAGTAGACTCGACTACTGCAATGGTGTCTTCACAGCTCTCACTAAAAAATCTATTAGGAAGCTGCAGCTGATTCAGAACGCCGCTGCTCGAGTCCTCACTAACACTAAGAAAGTGGATCACATCACTCCAGTTCTGAAGTCTTTACACTGGCTTCCTGTGTGTCAAAGAATAGATTTCAAAATACTGCTGCTGGTTTATAAAGCACTGAATGGTTTAGGCCCAAAATTCATTTCTGACCTCCTGCTAAATTATGAACCATATAGATCTCTCAGGTCTTCAGGGACTGGTCAGCTTTCTGTCCCCAGAGTCAGAACTAAACATGGTAAAGCAGCGTTCAGTTATTATGCTCCAAATATCTGGAACAAACTCCCAGAAACCTGCAGGTCCGCTGCAACTCTGACTACTTTTAAATCCAGGCTGAAGACTTTTCTTTTTGTCGCTGCTTTTAATTGAACTATTCATATCTTAGACTGCACTGTAACTTTGATCCATGTACTTTTTTCTTTTAATGTTTAATTGACTGCACTGTAACTTTTATCCATGTATTTTTTCTTTTAATGTTTCTTTTATTAGCTTTTCTTTTTAATGACTGATTTTAAATGCCATTTTCTTAATCTCTTTCATTTTTTGTAAAGCACTTTGAATTGCCTTGTGCTATATAAATAAACTTGCCTTGCCTTGCCTTGCCTTGCCTTGCCTTGCCTTGCCTTAGCCTTGCCTTGCCTTGCCTTGCCTTGCCTTGCCTTGCCTTGCCTTGCCTTGCCTTGCCTTGCCTTGCCTTGCCTTGCCTTGCCTTGCCTTGCCTTGCCTTGCCTTGCCTTGCCTTGCCTTGCCTTGCCTTGCCTTGCCTTGCCTTGCCTTGCCTTGCCTTGCCTTGCCTTGCCTTGCCTTGCCTTGCCTTGCCTTGCCTTGCTTGCCTTGCCTTGCCTTGCCTTGCCTTGCCTTGCCTTGCCTTGCCTTGCCTTGCCTTGCCTTGCTTGCCTTGCCTTGCCTTGCCTTGCCTGCTTGCCTTGCCTGCCTTGACTTGCCTTGCCTTGCCTTGCCTTGCCTTGCCTTTGCCTTGCCTTGCCTTGCCTTGCCTTGGCCTTGCCTTGCCTTGCCTTGCCTTGCCTTGCCTTGGCCATTGCCTTGCCTTGCCTGCCTTGCCTTGCCTTGCCTTGCCTTGCCTTGCCTTGCCTTGCCTTGCCTTGCCTTGCCTTGCCTTGTTGTTTGTATGTTGTCTTCTCCTGAATGTTGTACGTCCCTTGTTGGTTTTTGTATTTTTATGGCACCTTAAAAATGGAGTAGCTCTACTCATCTCATTGTATATAATGACAATGAAGGATTCTATTCCATTCTATTCTAGTGTGTGTTTTCCTCTTCATAAAAAGATTGATTAGTAGCAGTCAGTGTTACAATGCGTTTCTTGAGGATTGACCCGTACAAAGCTGAACTGTTGATAGCATAAACACCAGGGCCACCTGAATGACACTGAAAGTTGTATACCTTGCATCGTGGGTGAACATTTGTGTGTTTGGTCTTTATGTATGACCATGTATGTGCGTATATTCATCCTGCATTTATGTGTGTTTATGTGGCTGCAGTAATTGTCCGGGTGTGAAGTCGTTTAGTGGGTTCGTTTGCAGGTTTAGTTTTTATGAGATCGTCTGTTTGCTGAAGCGACAAGCAGCCATTGTTACTGCACATGTCCACAGATGCTGGCTGCCCAATTACCCTGCAATCACATGCATGGCCAGACCCAGGCACTGGCTAGCGTAATGGGCCGACACTCGGTCTGTAAATCTGCAATCACCCGCTCATGCCCTCCTGGTTAATAACACTTCTGAGAGCACATGCAGAAAGAGGAAATACCACAGCTGTTGCACAGATACACATTTTTTGTTGTAACTTCATTATGGGGAGTACTCACTACCAGCATTTATTTTTGACCTCAAGGTTAGGTTCCCCCAAAAGTGTTTCTGATTTTAACATTAAAATACCCCTTAATTGCCAAAGGGATTTTTGCTGTTTAGCGATGCACATTGTGGGCCATGTGTATAGAAAGAAAGACAAAAACACATAAACAAATAGAAATAATAAATGAAAGCAGACGATGCTGTATTTTATAAAGGTGGTTCATTTCAGGGCATTATTGTTTGTTTCTGTTTATACCACTGGCACCAATAGCCTTGCACTTAAAAAAACTTCAAGTGTAATTACTTCAAACACTCAGTCAAGGATAACTTTCTGTTAGAAAATCAACTTTTAATGCTGTTAAAAAGCATACAAGTACATAGATATTGATTCAAAGTCATAGATCCCAAAACCAGCACAATTTTACAGTACAATAAAAGGGACACAGAGAGTGTTGTTGCCTGTGTGGTCAGTAAGTAGGAAACCCATGTGTTGAGTTCATGATGGCTTTATTGTGCCTATTGGACAGCTGACCCTCCAAGTTCTTGGATGTCATAGTCCTGAGATAGATAAGATGTATTTCCTAAATGTGTTTTCTGCAGTAACTGCTTTCACAAAGCGAACCAGACCAAATATATTTATCTACTTCATGTAGCGAAGTGCAGACAATCAGAAATGAGTGAAATCACCTGGTGAAGTTTGACAGGTGCGAAACCCTGCTCCAGGTTTACCACTTATCACAATGTATTGACCATAGTAGAGTTTTTGTCAAATTATAAACCCATCAAGTGTTCTCTCTACAACACTGTAAAATACAACAGTTGAATATTTAAAAAGTAAAAGGTGCTGCAAGTTTTGTGTTTGAAATGATATTTAAAAAGTATTAAACTACACTGAACTAGATAGATGGTTGGACAGTTCAAGAGTTTAAAAAACATGTTTGAGATTAAATACCACATCAAACTTTGTACAATTGTACAACAACTAATATATTTGAAGGATTTACAATGGGTGTTTTAAACATAGACCAGTTGTTTTTGGTCAGCAACTAAACATGCCATACCTCGCAAGAAAACATAAATACTAATGAACCTTTAGTATGATGTCACTTTAACTATCAAATCACTTTGCAGCAAAAGTGGTGTTGCCTTTATTTTGGTGGTTCCTTCATGTCATTTGCTGAAAATGTATTGTATTTTTATACAATTGGACATTTAGTTTGCAATCATAGTAACACAAGTAATACCTTAAACTGTTTTCAATTCCTGATGACAGTAATGCAGAGTCAACATGGGCCCACGTGAGGTAAAGGTACACCCCCCCTCCCACACACACAACAGGGAGGAGTAAAGCAGGGGTCGTCACAATGATGCCACCACATCAAAAACATATTTTTTATAGACAAGAGCAGAACAGACAAAATAATTGTGTAGCTCTTTTCACCAAAATCATGACAAGACTAAGATCTAAACTTAAGTGACAATTTTATTAGAAAACAAACTTTCAAGAAGGTTATCTACAACATAAAACACATTTGTATCTCTTTTTACCGTGCTAACTGTCTCTTGGTTCCGTGCAAACCATGCTCCTGTCCCTCTATCACTTTCCCTCCCGGTATAGATATACATCAAAAGCAATATTTTTAAAGGAAACACCATAAGTGGACTCTAATAGCCGGTCTCCCAATCCTCTAACTAGGAAAATAAACTTTGCTAGAGTAAAATGTGTGTTTAAGAGTGCTGTACAAACTGGGGATTTTGTTCTTAAATACTCACTTTATACTGATGAAAAACAGGCTTTAAAAAGGTAATAGTATTTTATAAAGGCAAATAATGCCTTCACAAGTTGCTCAAAGTACCTTACTTTTTGAAGATCTCTCCTCTTTGTTCTTTTCAATTACCGACTCTCCCTTTTATTTGTCTCTCAGGAGCCATTCACACGCCATGAAGGTTACAAAGGGTCACCGAGTTCACTGGTGTTAATGTTGTTTCCTGGATAATTTTAAACAGTGAGAGGGCTCCCAGGATATCTATGCAATCTTTAATATGTACACATTACAGGGACTTTACCCTCCAGCGGACATATTGGTGTAGGTCCTTCATTCTTCTGAGCTTTTTGTGAACATCTGTTTGTGTTTCGTTATATGTCTTTAAATAGATCCTTTAAGAATGCTTACGTTTATCCAGTTCATACTTGAAACTGCTTACTTCACCGCTTGACAGCCAACATTTGATTAATCAAAGTATAAATGTGGATAATATCAGCTTTGATTGCTTACGTACATCAACTTGTATTGGGACAAAGTTCCAAGGTATCATCTGGCAACTTTGAACCAAAGACATATTACAGACACACTTTGTTTGTTCTGTGAACTATATCCAACCTATCATTCTCACAACTCTCCACTCGCCCTCATTGATGCGGCCAGGAGGGGCTGCTCAATGTGTGATGCACCTGCAAAGCCGCCATTAATATATTATAATTGTTACATGGGTGATAGTCTTCTACACACAACCCTTACTGAAATTGAAGCTTGGCATTTATCTTATAACCTTGCGACCTGTCTTACATGTTCTCCTCTCTCTCTTTACAAATTAGAGTTGATTCCATGCTAACCCTAACCCTAACTCCATGGCCCTGTCCCTTGTGAAAGAACACCTTGTTTTCCAATTACGATCAAAGTTACAGTATATTTTAACAACAAAACCTGAAGTGAATAACAATGTGGAGTATCATGTGTTCAAACCATGAACCGTCATAAAACCAGTGTTTACAAAGCAGAAAGCACAAGAGGACTCAGCCATTAGAGCTGACCCCTTCATTTGTTCCCTCTTTTGTCAGTAGCGAGCTACAGTATACAGAGGAACTGTGGGGAAATTAGTTTAGGGGATGATGGAAGTGTGAGGTGAGGCTAGGACAAAGAGGTCCGTCTTTTGAAAAAGATATTTGAAAATGACACTTACTCAAGACATAACATTTTGAACAATAACATGTGCACTCTAAATTGGTGTTTTGTATCCCAATTGAGTATCATTGATTCAATCTATACGTAATCCCAGGGAAGCAACTATCAGCGATCGACTGTGGCCATTAGGTACATTCTAGGAGGTGTTATGGTATGTGCCCAAAAGCGTGAAAGTATACCGCTGTGAAATATCCCTTTAAGGGTCGTGTGGGAGGAATCTTGATCTGTAGCTGGTTTTAATGGAAAGTTCAACCCACAACACTAAAAATAAAGCAATGTGCCTTTAATCTGTTGAACCATCAACAGTCGTCTCATGCTTCCAGTTTGAGCTAGTTGAGCTTATGCATTCAGTGTGATGGGTGAGTGGGCTTTCCGTTTATGTAAGAGTGTGTTTGTGTGTGTGTGTGTGTGTGTGTGTGTGTGTGTGTGTGTGTGTGTGTGTGTGTGTGTGTGTGTGTGTGTGTGTGTGTGTGTGTGTGTGTGTGCATGTACAGTACAGTGGAGAGATCAGATACAGAAATGCCTAATTTTAACTGCATGGTTTGGCTCGACTTGACTCATTTTTGGTAATGGATGCTTTTCTCAATTGTCTGTTCCTCAAATGATCGCAACCTCTTTTTCAACGCGAAATAGTGCTTTGTTCCACTCTTGCTGGATCAATTGGCAACCAAACAGGAAAAGGAACACATTTTTAAATGAAACCAAACTAATGACTCTTCCCAATGTTTTAACTTCACCTTCTAATAGTGGTTCAGTTCACTTGGACCCTCAACCAAGGCGCAACCAAAAACAGTACCAGGTGCTATCCACAACTTTTGCCACAATAAAAAATAACAGTCAAAGCAAGTCGAGCCATAGCATACATTGCATTTAAAAGGCGGCAGATGTCTTACCCTGGGAGCATTAGCTGCAACTAATACACTGCAAACCAAGTTATTTCTTGGCTGAAGTCACACATGAATATTTCATTTTTAAAAAGCCAAGTGCAGAGCAGGGTAAGAAACGTGGTCACTTAAATACCAATTGAGAAAGAGATGAATCCAGTGATTGCCTTGTGAGAAATGCGAAAACAACAAATGGAAAATAAGTGTATGTGTCTGTGTCTCAGAGCTGACCTTGACAGGCTTGCTATACTCCAAGCATGCAAAGTATGTAAATGTTCCTCTCTTTTGAAGCACTTTGCCAAGATCTAACACAAATCATCAATGAGTTGCTCCAAAGGCATGCGTTGTCTGTCTTTGCGAAGGTCTTATTTGACTTGATAAAATGAAAGCTGTCATTTCAAAGCGTGAAAGTATACAAGGGCAAACTTGTGAAAGCAGGAGAAGTGCATGGATATCAAGATTTAAAAAAAAACAGCCACTCCTCTTCACAATAACAACCTGTTCAGTAACAGTCTTTTTTTGTGCCATCATTCCAGAAAACCAAACACTTCCGAGTCGTTACAATACAAATCTCAGTGCTAGAGTTTCCACAAATAGGAGTTGATGCTGGCCTCTTTGCTGCCCGTATTATCCTGTCCTTTGCTGCAATCTTTGTCCCTTTTTTTGTCTTTCATTTTCTCCTACTTTATGCCCCGCTCACTTTCTTTCAGTTACTCCTCCCATGCGCTAAGGTCCCTCGGCGTCCGGTTGCGTTCGCCGGAGCTCTTGCTACGAGCCTTCCTGGCGCTCTCCTGCGCTTGGCGGTTTTTCTCCAGCATGCTTTTGTGTTTCCTCCTCAGCTTGTCGTTGCACCACATCCTCTCACAGTACTCCTCAACGTGGGGCAGGTTGGACGGCCCAATCAGCTGCATGATATCCTTGAACCATGTACGCGATTGGCCGATTTGGCTTGATGAGCCGCCCCTGCTGTATGTGCTACAAGGCATCCATGCTCGGTAGCTTCCTGTGGACCGGTCTTTGTACGCATCAGAGAGGCCGGCATTGTCTCGTGCCATGAGCTCATCCACGGTGTCCCCCTGGAGGACTTCGAGGCTTAGGCGGGCCAGGGTCTGTGTGAAGCCGTGCTCTGTGGAGCGGCAGATGTACACGCCTTCATCCTGGCGGGAGAGGCGACGAAACAGGAGGCCCTGCTCTGTAGACATCACACGGTCATCCAGCTTTACCTGAGTGGGGCAGAGGGATAATATGTGTCAACATTTAACTCCTATACATGAAATATATACAGCGGAATTAAGATTTTGGGTAATCATTTTTTTGTTGTAGGTCCCATCATATGCTTTTCTGGTTATTACCCGTCCCCTTGTGTGTTATGAAGGTTTTTTTTCCATGTAAACGGTCTGCAAAGTCACAAACCCTCAAAGTACACCCTGTAGCGAGTAAAACTCTAACACAGAAAATACGTGTCTGCTGCCCCAGAACGCCTCGTTGTAGATTTGTCTCTGGAGCCCCGCGGAGCTGTGAGGCGGAGCTCCGCGGGCTCAGGGCTCAGGCTGAGCTGGTGTTGTTTCCTGGTTGCTGCGTGGGGTCTGCGAGACCAAGGGGGTCCGAGCTTCGCGGTGTCTCGCTGTCTCGCAGACCCCACGCAGCAACCAGGAAACAACACCAGTAATCCAGCTCACACTGTCCGCTCCTCGAGCCTCAAAGGGCGGAGCAGCGAGCCCCGCAACGTCCCACCAACACGGCACCCTGACCCCACGCAGCATTCTCATCTGTTTGTAATTACTGGTGTCATTTTCTGGTTGCTAACAAACGCCATTGTAAAACATAAACACTGATGTTCCGCTGTAACGGTGGTTGACTAATCAGAACAGAGCGGGCGAGCTGACCAATCAGAGCACAGTGGGCTCACGGGGGGGGGGGGGGGGGGGGGGGGCAGGAGCTCTAACAAGGCGTGGAGGACAGAGAGTGAATACACATACTATACAGAGATGCTGTATGAGAAAACCAATGTGAGTTTGGAAAATTGAACAATGTCAATCTATTCTAATAGACCACAACAATGGAATTATGATCAGTAGAAATGGCAATGACATGGGACCTTTACAATTGAAAACTACAATTGTATTTCAGATTGGACAGTGATCAATGTGATTATGTTGCCAATAATCTATGAATGGTGATTCCTAAACAACAAATTAGCTTTTGCAGTGTTCAAACAAAGTTAAATAACCTTTTGACTAGAAATGCAAAGATTTTAAATGTCTAAGGGCTAAAAATGGGAGTTTACGCCACTCAAAGCCTTTGTAGCTTTCATGAGACTATAGCATCTTTATTTATCGTAGATGTCTTTTTCGGGTAGAAAAATGAAATCTGGAATATTTGGGCAAAGAGCGTAATCCAATTTGAAGCATGACAGAAGAAGGGCTCTTTTGTACTTTTTTCCGCCTTTTTCTTTTCTCTCATTCTCTCTTTCTTTCTACCTCAACCCAAAGTCTCTCCTCTATTCATTTTTGATTATTTGTTCTCTATTTTCCTCCCCCCTCTTCGGCTCCCATCCCTCTGCTTGTCGAACTATCCCTCTGTGCCAACACAAACATGGCAGCCTTGTAAGCTGAAGTGGCAGCCAAATGTTTATTTGCAGGGAAATGGATAGGGGTGGTAATGCCTTAATACTCGCACGGCTGACCGAGATGCTCGGTTGAGCTTGGAGAAACAAACTCTCCAACAAATGAACGATTACTGTGGGTGTGGGCACACACGGAAAAATACTTTTCTAAGTAGTGCTCTAAATGACTTTGTAACACTGTTTAAGTCACAGTGACAGGCAGACATTGAGTACACTTCAGATTTCGGCGGTCAATTTTGGAATTCACTGTTTATCTAAGAGAAAGAGTACTTGTGCATTTTCCTTTGAAATATAATTTCTTAATTTCAACCGCATGTCAAATGGCTGTCAAATGTGCCAACCATGTGCCAAATTCACATCTCACTTTTAAAGGCAGAAACTCCCGCAGTAAAATACATTTAGTCCGGCAGTTAAAGGCAGTTACTTCAGCCACCGTTGGCCAGAAATGTCATTCCTTCCCTCATCTGTCTCCAAATTCTAACCAACCTTCTTCCCATCATATATAAATTAGGATAAGGGGGTATTTTATCATCACGATTTTGGTGTTGATGTTATATATTTAATTATAATCTTACCTCCTCCTTGCGGTCATCACGTTGGACAAGCCAGCTAACTGTGGCCTGTGGAGAGCGAGGAACACACTCCAGGAAGGTGCTGTTGTTCTCGGTCCCATACACCACTCTGTCTTCTGTCACGTCAAGGTCTTCTGGATGAAAGAGGGATTGTTTTGAATAACAAAAACATTGTAGCCAGTTTAGTCAGTCCAAAATTCTACTTTCAACGTACTGGCAACAAAGAAAGCTTTAATCTAAATGGCAAAAATACAGGAAATACTGAGGATGTCGGTTGATATAACAATGATTTGAAAACAAAGTTTGTTAAAAATCGCAATGTCTTTGCCAGTACCTTGTGAAAAGTTTGCTCGTTATTTAGAATAAAACTCTAACAAATAGCAGACGTCTCAAGTTGGGAGGATATTTCAATCCTAGCAAAGAAAACACAGGCCTCAGGGAGTTTGACTTCAGCAACAACTTGACACCTTGGCACAAAGAAACGTTATGAAATGCGGGTTCATCCAAAGGCCTTGAAGAAGGTATATGTCATCACCTCGCCACCACCATACCTTCCGTCAGGTGAGCAAACATCCCTCTCTAGCCACCGTTTTTCTTTCCCTTTTTGTTTGCTCTTTTCATATGATCGCTGATGGCTTTAGATAACCTCAGTTTCTGCTTATCTGTCAATCTATAAGTTCGCACACACACACAACGTTTATTTTTTATCTTCCCCTTTTAAAGTTTGCTAGGTAAAACAGTGCATATTATTTGTTTAATTTGTATAAAAACATACTTTTGTAGAAACTGGCAGCCCAAAAAGTCTTACGTTTCTACAAGGTACCAAAACGTGACCAGGTGCTGTCCAGATTGTCACTGCAACCAATTAAAAAGTAGTTGTGCATAACAAACATGAAGGCTAAAAAAGGGTTTAGTTGTTTACCACTCAGATTCTGATCCACACACTGCAGCACAGGGTTTCCGTGCCTGATGTCCTGTCTGCGGTAGCGCCGTTTGCTGTTGGACGTGTAGCGAGCACACACTGATCCGTCCCAGGCGCAGTAAGGGTCTCTGGCCAGGCAGCACTCGGCACAGGCATTCCCATAAGTCTCACAGCGGTGCAGCTTCACCTGTGCTACGCCTGCTGGGGAGCCCACATACAGGGCTTGCTGTTGGAAATAATGAGAACAGAAGAAAGGGAGTAAGGCATGATGTTGATCATAGAATTGGTTAGAAGCATTATTAATAGTAATCTTCTCTTACCCTTTTCACGGATATGTCCATCGATGTTATTGGAGTTGGCACCTGCAATAATTAAAATAATTGAACTTTTACGTGTGAAGAAGCTTACAATAAGAAAAGTGACAAGCTCAAGAGTAGAATTACTGTTAAAGAAAAGGGAGGAAACAGCTTTTCTTGAGAGCCATCTTAGTGTATCCTTATCCGACTACAAAGAGGGTTTCATTGATACGATGAATATAATATATAACGATGAGTCAGCATTATTGATCGGACACCTGACAGAGTAAACGTACTTTAAAGACTTGTAGCTCCTCCAGTGTGACCTCCTCTGTCTCCAGGCTGTTCCCACTGTGTAGGGCAATGACTTTTAATACTGTGCCAACGTCTGAAAGACACACACCAATAAATGACAAAGTTAAAAAAAAAAAGGGAATAAAACATATAAATGATTCTCTCCCACAATATGTAATATGTTTTAATATTAAATTCATATCAATATTACCTGTGCCAATGAACATTACGTCATACTGCCCGTCCTCCGCCTCGACCCGGTCAACCACGATTTGTTTCAGCTTGTAAGGCAAGTTGGCCTTTACGAGCACAGGCTGACGCAGAGCGGGAAACACCGGCCGCCACATCAATGGGTGGCTGCGGGCAAACTGCAGCACTGAATCAGGGAAGTCCTTCGTGCTGCCAAACTCTCTGCCTGGCTGGTTGGTGATTTTACTAGGGCACTGGAGGTGGGAAACATGTGGAGAAACAAAGGAGATGGTTATTAAAGATGTTGGCAAAATCCTTGGCTAATTAATAATGAGAAAGCCTATTTCTGGCCATTTTCCATCCCGACTTTAATTCCCACCATGTTGCACCACTTTAGGTGTGTTTCCAAAAGCAATGTGGAATAATTATGGTCTTAAAGACTTCTCAATGAACCCTCATTAGCACTTTTATTGTGCCTGAAAACTTTGGATGAAAGTTCAAAACCATAGTTGTAAATCCCTTGGTTTGGAACCAGCTTATAGAGGCAGAGTGTGCTGTTAGTTAAAAACTCTCCCCTTCGTGTCACTGTAATTACAAGATGAATGTGCTGGTTCTTGGCAGAGATACTGTATCAATCAAATCATCAAGAGGGTTGAACACAATCCAAATAAAGGCATGTACGCAAACCATATGACCTGCGTTTCAACTGAAGCTTTGGAGTTTTGTACAATTAAGATCAATAAGGGCAGCAATGGGGCGAAGGCCAGTGTCTGGGTTTACAAGACTCAAATGTAGGCTTATTGGGCAAAATAGCACAAAAGGGGACAATACAAAGGTGCTTTTGGGGTTCATTTTACTCAAATAGTGTCACTTGAATGTACCAGTGAGCTTCAAAATCGGATTAGAAGCTCTGTTGGGAATAATCATTGCATTTAAGCTTTGAAATATTTAGAAGTTGCTTTAGAGCCTGACAAACTGGTCATTTTATCATCTTGAGGTTGGGATGACAAAAATATGTGAATAAGATAGTAATACAGCAGCAGTGACTGACTTAAATGAAAGCATATGTCAAAGTCTGACAAAAAAGCATAAATTAAATGAGAAAAGGGTAGAATATAGTCTAAACACAGGAAAGCATTCCCTGATATTGCTATTCCAGACTTCCATACTGTATTATTGTTGTTTCTCCTTATCACAACAGTTACTGATCAAAAATAGCTCTATAATGGCCTGGTTTCTATTTCAGAGGGTGGATCTGAATTATGCGGGGACCTTAGACTGGAATCTGAACAAACTATTGATGTATGACATTCCTGACTTACATGACTTACTAAATGGCTTCAATTACAATTTATTACAAAGGGTGCAGAATGTGTTGGCAAATCCAACTCCAAAACATGCTGACTTAACAGTATGTTTTGATTTAGTAGCCGATAAATTGTAAAGTTCAGATATAACTCAAAATGTGATCCAAGCATACCTTTACCTTATCTTCTGGTAAGCTTCAAGCTAAAATAAATATAACTGTCATTTTAACATGTTAAAAAAAACATTCTTTTCACATTTTTCACTTTTAGAACGAAAAACATTATTTTATTTATGAAAGATTTCCCCATCACTCATACTTGTGCAGCTGCCAATACAATTCATTGATATGTCAGCGTTTGAAACGGCTCACTGAAATACTGTGTTCATCTGTTTGTACAGCTCGTAAAACTGGGCCAGCTCCAAAATCTCTTGTCAACTCATCCAAACTTTGCTGTAGCAAGTCAACTGCTTTCAATCACCAACAGTGAGCCAAGTTAGGGTTAATGCGAGCGAGGAGAGGTGAGCATATTTGGCAGACTTCTATTCACGCCCCTTATTACTGTGTATGTGACTGTGTTTGCATGGTGTTAATGCATGAAACAGACCATAAGGAGAGCTGAGGTTCAAATCATGGAATAGGATTTATTTCTATATCAACCTTTTAAATTGTGGTTTTAAGCTTCTGAAATCTTTCAATGTCAGACCAGAATGCAAGAAAATCACTTTTCTGTAAAACTTCAATACAGCCCATGGTTTACAGTATTATTTTGACGTACTGCATAAATTAGGTACCAATAAAGTATCATCTAGTTCAGTGGTTCCCAACCTGGGGGTTCCCAACCTGGGGGGCGTGCCCAGGTTAAATTACATATAATTGTAAAGCAATACATGATTGTCACTAAAAGCCTTGTCTCTACATTACAATAAAATATAAAAAATAATTGATTAATTAATTTGAATAACAATTCAAGTTAGTATTAAAGGCATAAAAAGACAGAAATGTATAATTCTTTCTTTAATAGAAATGTTTCTTCTGCCCGTAAAGTGTCCAAACCGGGCTTGTCTGGATAAGCGCATTTTTAAAACATAGTCATTGTCCATGCCGGTTTCAGTTGGATTATTTGTCACAGTTGCTCCGATCAGATCGGTCTCCTCCATTTTGTAGATTATTTACGACTTTTGAATCCACATAAACACATCGGCAAAATCCGGCTTACTTTGAGTATGTGTTTCAAACTGTTTAATCCCTTTGTGAATTCTCAGTAGTAATGATTTTATGTGCTTTTTTAACGATAAAATTGTTACTCTTAGAAACAAAATGAATGACCTCTTGCCTTTGACCAGTATAGTGTTATCAACAGCTCCCGGAAACGTAAGTTCTAATATTACACTAGATAGTAGACTAGAATGCTTTTCAGCCATAAACCTTGAACAATTAAATTCAATGATTCTCTCTTCTAAATCATCAACGTGCATGTTAGACCCAATTCCAACTAAGCTGTTGAAGGAAGTTTTTCCATTAATTAGCACGTATTTATTAAATATTATGAATATGTCTTTATTATCAGGCTATGTTCCACAATCATTCAAAGTAGCAGTGATAAAACCGCTTCTTAAAAAGCACAACCTCGATCCAGAGGTTTTAGCCAACTATAGACCTATTTCTAATCTTCCGTTCCTCTCAAAAATTCTTGAGAAAGCGGTCGCAAAACAGCTGTGTGATTACTTAAAAAACAATGATTTATTTGAAGATTTTCAGTCAGGCTTTAGAACACATCATAGCACAGAGACAGCTCTGGTTAAAGTCACAAATGACATTCTAATAGCCTCTGACAAGGGACGTGTCTCTATTCTTGTTTTGCTCGATCTCAGTGCTGCATTTGATACTATCGACCATGATATCTTATTGCAAAGACTAGAGCACTTAGTTGGCATACAGGGAACTGCTTTAGACTGGTTTAGGTCCTATCTATCTGAACGCTCTCAGTTTGTACGTGTCAATGATGAATCTTCCACGCAAACCAAAGTTAGCCATGGAGTGCCACAGGGCTCAGTGCTCGGACCTATTTTGTTCACATTATATATGCTTCCGTTAGGCAATATTATAAGGAATCATTCTGTAAACTTTCATTGTTATGCGGATGATACTCAACTATATTTATCAATCAAGCCTGATGAAATTAATCATCTAAATAAAATTCAAGACTGCCTTAAGGACTTAAAAACGTGGATGACCTTAAACTTTTTGATGTTAAACACGACCAAAAGTTATTGTACTTGGCCCGAAGAATCTACGAAACAAATTATCTAAGGATATACTAACTATGGATGGCATTAATTTGGCCTCCAGTGAGACTGTAAGGAATCTTGGTGTTATATTTGATCAGGATTTATCCTTTAACGCCCACATAAAATCAATTTCAAGGACCGCCTACTTCCATCTACGTAACATTGCAAAAATCAGGCATATCTTGCCTCAAAACGATGCAGAGAAACTAGTCCATGCATTTGTTACTTCAAGGCTGGATTATTGTAACTCTTTATTATCAGGGTGTACCAAGAAGTCAGTCAAGTCGCTTCAGCTGATTCAAAATGCTGCAGCTCGTGTACTAACCAGAGTTAGGAAAAGGGACCACATTACTCCTGTTCTGGCTGCCTTACACTGGCTCCCTATAGAACACAGGATAGAATTTAAAATTCTTCTTCTCGCCTACAAAGCCCTTAATGGGCAGGCGCCATCTTACCTTAAAGAACTCATTATACCCTACTGTCCTACTAGGGCATTGCGTTCCAAGAATGCAGGGTTGTTGGTTGTTCCTAGAGTCTCTAAAAGTACAATGGGAGCCAGAGTCTTTTCTTATCAAGCTCCACATTTGTGGAATCAGCTTCCAGTTTGTGTTCGGGCGGCAGACACCCTATCCGTTTTTAAGAGTGCGCTTAAGACCTTCCTTTTTGATAAAGCTTATAGTTAGGGCTGATTAGATTCAGCCCCTAGTTTTGCTGATATAGGCTTAGTTTGTCGGGGGACATCTTACTTCTTCCTTCTCTCTGTCTATACCTGTGTACTCTCATGTTCCGATTAACCCAGCTTCCCCAAATGTCTTTCTTTTTGGTGTCTATATACGCCGGGATCCGGAGTCATGGATGATCCTGCGCTCCTCTGTCCTGGATCGCGAGCCCTGGATCTTGAGTCGTGGCTGTGGTCCTGGATCATAGGTCCTAGATGGATATCCTCGTGGATTCATCTTCCTATTATACACACATGCATTTCCAAACATTTGGACTACCTATGTTGCAAATGTATTATCTTTTCAATTTACACACGGCATCTATTGCACGTCTGTCCATCCTGGGAGAGGGATCCCTCCTCTGTTGCTCTCCCTGAGGTTTCTCCCATTTTTCCCTTTAAACTGTGGGTTTTCTTCGGAAGTTTTTCCTTGTACGATGTGAGGGTCTAAGGACAGAGGGTATCGTATTGTCATACTGATATTTTGTACAAACTGTAAAGTCCACTGAGACAAATGTAACATTTGTGATATTGGGCTATATAAATAAACATTGATTGATTGATTGATTGATTGAATTGTTTCCACTTGCGCCGTCCTTTAATTTCTTCATACAGCGGGAATCCAAATGAATTAATCCTGAGTCCAATAACCATCAAAGTCACTCCAATAGTGCTCCTTAATTACGCTTTCATCCTCCTTTAACAAAATACTTCACATTCATCCAGTTTGTGACAGTAGTTGTAGCATTTTTTAGACTTTTAAATTTAAATTTTATTTTTTTTATTTTAATTGTGTGTGTGGGGGGGGGCGCAACTTCCAACAGGAGTCATTTGGGGGGGCTCTTGGGAAAAAAGGTTGGGAACCACTGATCTAGTTCCTACTAAAAATGTACAGTTGAAGATACCCAACGGAAAGAAACGAGCAACAATAAGTTAGCAGAAGCCTCAAACCCCAAAATTGACACTCCCTTGACAGATAGTTGAGTTCTGACACAATGAGGTAATGGATAAAGTATATTTTAATCAAATGTAAGTCTTTTTTTGTTTTGGGTAACCAGTGCCTTTATTCTAAAATGAAAGGGGATGACATGCTATAATGGCCCCATTACCAGCAGCTCTAATGCCCCAATGTATGTTTTTTATGGGAATAAATGCACGTGAAAGTATGAAGAAAAATATACAGATGACACTCTGAATATCGGTGTGACAGCATGATACATTTCTATTGATTTAAAACAGATTATGGAAGTGATTTTTATGTCAGAAATCAATCCAAGAGAAACATCTAGTTACTTGAAAGACTGCATGGATCATCATGGATACAATTATTCTGGTAGCAACCCAAAAGCTTGAGTTTGAAGTATCAAACCTACCACTTTTCTATGTCAAATTATTGTGAATGACAGGCAGGCAGAGTAAAGCTTCATATGGCTCAGTCCAAGTAGGATTAAAGCTCTGGAAACTTGGAAACCAGACTATCCTATAATTCTTTCTATCACAACATAGATTATTACAGACTTTCAAACAATGTGCAGTGCTATGACAATCCAAAAATAAACATCCAGGGTGGATAAATCCACTAAATCTCTCATACTGCACTTCTATTTTCCATTTCTGGGTGAGTTTTGACAGGTGCGAAAGCAGACATGATAGATATTACACAGTGTAACAATAGGAATCTGTTACAAAGAAAACTCCAGGAAATAAAAATATTCTGTCTGTTGCGTGAGACAAAAAAAAAAGTAGGTCATTATAATTGTTTTACTAGAGAAGAGGGAGAATATTTTAACTACAGCCATCCAGCAAGCTGTTCTTCATCATATTAGTTTTGATGAATATCTACTTCTTTCCTTCCTATCTGTGCCTTTTCATCAGCCTAACTTAAGTCATCACCCTTTTTCCTGTTTCCTCTCTCTCTCTCTCTCCTCTCTCTCTCTCTCTCTCTCTCTCCTCTCTCTCTCTCTCTCTCTCTCTCTCTCTCTCTCTCTCTCTCTCTCTCTCTCTCTCTCTCTCTCGTTTCAGGCCAAGACATTCCTGTTAATCAGAGAGTCAGTGGAGTGGAACCACAGAGGTGTCTGCTCTGTTCTCACATTATTCATATTCCTTCTTCCTCCATACAATTCTGCAGTCTGGTAATGAGGCGGAATAGAAAGCGCGACCATTTGTGTGTGTAAGTGTGTAAAACAAGTCTGATTACAATGATGTGGTTGAGAGGACATGACAGAGCTCCGCTGAGAGTCAGGATGTAAACCAGGAGAAGTCTGCACAGCTGCACTGCAACATCCAGTAGTTAACATTACTGATAGGGAACTTTCTACACCTCATTTTATATGCTTTTAGCACCTTTCATATTGTTCCTGCCTCTCTGTTCAGAGTAGGCCGGTTGGGTCTGAACTAATGCATTCTCTGTCATAACATGTCCATTCAGGAATACATACCGTAATCAAGGCTTTGCCAATAAGGTTGAGAAGTTGCCAATTGTATGTTAATATTTGAGGCTGTAGTTTGTGGTGCTGTGTTTTTTTAATAGCTAAAGCCTTTAGCTTACCTATTGGTGTTCTACAAAAATAGCATTGCACTGTTTGAAAGGAATGCATTGACCAGTTTCTGTTAGATATGTTTTTTTAAAAAGGTATGACACATTTTTGCTAAATCTGACACATCTATGTGAAATGTATGTTATGTAATAAGATGTCTTCAAGTTGATTGAGTGACAGTAAGATGCGTATCTAAAGGTTAGGTCAGCATTTAAAACAGCTCAGTGTACCGACTTACTGTATTTCATTTGCTGTCGCTATTCAGAACCTATGATGTAAATGTCTTAATATTGTCTTCAAACTTTCAATAATTGGCCATTGATATAGTTTACCAGTTAATAGGACAGATATCAGTAGAAGCTATAGTACTGCCAAACTGTGTGTCATCAGCATATGAAGTGTAGGATATCTGATGTTTCTTCATAATGTTTTTGAACAGAAGAACAGAATGTATTGTGGGACATACTGTATGTTGGTCATGGTAAGTACAGTAAGGTTGAGGTACAGTTAGGGTTTTGAAACCGAAGCATTTGAGTAAAGTCAGGGTTAGAGGGTGATATATTTTGTAAGCCCTCACTCACCACGCCTGGTCTTGGATAAGGGACCCTGCCTTCATAGGCCCCCCACTGATAGTCAGGGCCCTCTTTATGGGCAAAGGGTCCGTTGAAGGCCTCTCTGATGTCAGCCATTCGGTACACACACACAGCAAACCCCTGGAATACATTACTGTGGAGGAGAAAAACGAAACATTTCCACAAATTACTTCACCAATTTCTATTTGCTAAGTACTAGCTGGATGATAAGAAAAGGGAAAGGTTAATAAGACATCGGTTACATACTGTAAGGTAGAGTTGTTAATGTGTTGGTATAACCGGTATACACATTGAGTAGCATGCTTCATGGTTATTCACCTGATGGTGCTGAAGATGGCATATATATCTGGGTTCCTCTCATCCTTGGTCCTCAGCAAGAAAACATCCTCTGTTTTATGTTAAAAAAAGAATCCCCTTTAGAACGTGTGTTTCTTTGCAGTAAAATGCGTGAATGTGTGCTTTTATGCATTTTTGTTGTGTCCAAGAATGCATGTTAACTTAGGACGAGAGTGTGTACAAAAGATATTTGTGTGCATCTCACCCAGCTGGTTGAAGTGTGTGTCGATGCCGTGAGGTCCCGGGACAGAGCAGACCAGTCTGGCTTTTACGAAGGTACTCCACTTGTTCACTAGCACTCTCTGACCTCCAACATCGTTCTGGCAGGAAAAAGAGAGAAATATAATCTATAAAACACAGCTGCATTTTCAATTCCACACACACAGTTTCATTGTTTGGCTCTGTACTCTAGCAAAATGGATTTTGATTGAAACGCTGAGGTTAGAGCAGCTTTAGGTGTGTTGGAAGTGGGTGAAACAGTGCAGGACTGGATTTCTTTTTGTACATGGTCCCCTTAGGAGAATGGAGCCAGAACATGAACCTAAACCGAAATAAAAGAATGTTGTTGACCAGACTGAAAGCAAAATGGTTTTCACTACCTATTCCTGTGGTTTTTAAATGTTTTCACATTAAAGGCTTTTTTAGAGACGTTTTCTAATCCAAAATCTAGGGTCTAAAGACAGATACTGTACAGATTATAAAGCCCATTGATGCACATTTTTGATTTGTTGAAAGACTACAAATAAACGACTTGAAGCTGTACAGTATATCCGATTTAAGTAGTTAAAGCCATCAAATTAAAGATGAAAGTCAGCACTTAAATCTTGTAATCACCGTTTTCTTTTCAAATATTTTGGCACTGACAAAACCTACACTACCTAACAATAGACTAATACTTCTGTACACAACTAGGATACACTAAAGCAGCCTTTTTAAACCTTTTGTAGAACACAGTCGCTTGTCTGTTGCAGATAATTAGTGTGCAATACATCACGAGGGAGGGTGTGTGTGAGATGGGGATCGGCGGTGATAATGAGCTTCTTGGCACGACCACCACTGGGGAAGTGAAGACAACTATTCAGATTTGCCTGAGGAAGGAAAAGAGTGCTGCGGAGAAAATAAAATAATGTGTGAAGGGAGAGAATGAGTGACAGACGGAGAGAAAGAGGAGTAGGATACAGGGAGATGAGGATGACAAATAAAGCTATAATTTGAAGGTTTCGGTGGGATTTTGTACGAGAAGTTTTGGCAAACTTTTCTGGCACAGTCAAAAAGACGCTAAGGAAATCCTGCAGCTGTGTGTGTGTGTGTGTGTGTGTGTGTGTGTGTGTGTGTGTGTGTGTGTATTCTACGATTCATACTTATTTCTGTGTATGGTGCACGCAGCACACATATGGTTTTCCAAGACATATCAATGCGTGAAAGAATGTGAAAGAGCGTGTAGAGCAGACGGGGATCAGTTGTCCTATTTGTCAGCTGTATGAGCTTTAGGAGGAGAAATAACTCATATGATTCTGAATATCATGATGCCTTCACAGTCCATTGGGGAAATGTTAATGTGATTGCTCCGAAAGACATTTGTCTCTTTCAAGGAGGGAAAAAATATAAACCCATGAAATGTATTTTCCGATCTCTTTTTCGTCCATTGGACTTTAGTGAGAATGTGAATATCATCAGACTGAAAGCATGGGTGGAAATTGGATATTTAGGAACACCAACGGAATTCTCCAGAAAACAAATGAGCCCAGAAGGACTCCCAGACTCCCAGATTATAACTTCTTCTTCAAATGAAACACGCCTGCAGATGTCTCATATATTGGACTGGATATTTGTCAGGCCATGAGGAATAGCATTACGTGACTCACCTGACCATCTGGCTACACTCATCCCCACCTGACAACAGATCATCTCTCAATCTTTTCCGGCATACTCGTATTAACCTGATTTTCTGATTATAATATGTTACTGGTACAAGTGGGGTATTTAATTATTTTCTATAACTGATAACGGATTGTTTTTAATTTACATACTGCAGAAGCTCCACTTTCTGTTTAGTTATGTGTCATTTCTGACAGCACAAGGCTCGGTAAGAGATTAAATAATAACTTTGATACGTAAAAGTATCTGCATGGCTAGATACCTGTTGCAGACTTAATGCAAACACCACCAGGTCGCAAAGTAAATGTGTTTACTGTGAAGTGTTTATAAAGTATCTCACCGCACACACTCGTCCAATACGTGTGTGTATGGCCCCCTCCCTGTCCCCTGCGTCCGTGGCCTTCTCAGTGAAGAAGAAATACACTTTGTCGTTGTCTCTGTCATCATTGTCTGGGATGAGGTGCGCAGCGATGAACTTAGGGTCTGCAGAGGAAGAAGAGACATGGACGTTAGTATTAAAGTAATCTATTTAAAGAAGATAACACGTGGTCTGAGCAAAGGGATGAAGATGCCATGATTGATGGAAGAGGTTGATTAAACAGTGAAGCATTACCGTGGAGAAGTTTCTGGTCAGTCTCTGTCCTCATGGTGGAGCGACCTCCCATACTCCTGAAGATCACAGAGTCCCTACCCAGAAAGTCTGCCGTCAGTCCAGTATACAGCTCCCCACCTGAAGGGAGGCAATGACGGAGGTGGAGGGAGACGGAGAAGAAGGGTCAATACAGCAGAGTAAAGAACAGCAGCAATAAAGGAAACGGATTAGGGATAAATAAAAAGATTGGCATATAATTACAATAGGGAAATCATGGGTGACAGAAAACATGATTTGCACTAGAAGCAAATGAAGCATGGAAGGAAAGAGGAAATTGAAATGAAACCAATTCAAAGCACACAGGGAGAGTAATCTGAAACTCAAACACGTACAGTACATCCTCCACAGAGACTATAAGCATAGACTCAGTTTAAATTTCAACAACTTAGAATATAGATTTTCCGGCCTAAAGATATACAATATTTCCTGTAGCATATACAGTACAGTAAATAAACCTTTGAAAAACCTAAAGCAGCCAGGGTAATCCGTCATTAGAAAAGAAAGCAACCCCAGCTAGCGGTAAGACGGAAATCCCTACAACACCAATCACATAATGAAGAATTATTAGGGATATAAGTGAAAGCCTATTTTTTCCCAACACAGTGACCAATGAAGCAAGAAATCTGACCACAGACAGCGATCTCATTGGTGTGAATGATTCTTATCTTATCAAGCTGAAAAAACGGCACAAGAAAAAATAAATAGGCATTAGTAAGACACACACACCCCTTCTTTAACCTTAAAACTAAAACACACACACATACAGTCATGTTCACACAATAGATTCTAAAATTGGTAATGACAGCTTTGTGTTTTTTGGGAGAGGATCCTGAAATGTAGAAGATGAAATCATTGTTTGCTTGATTCATCATCGTTTACTGTTTCTTTCTTGGCATCTCTATTTTCATTTTTGTATGATATTCATTTTTTTTTGCTTAAGCTCTATATTTATGCCTGTGTCTGTATCTTTGTCGACTCGTGTATCTTTTCTACAGTGTCTGCCTTTTGCACTCCATTGATCCCTGAAGAGTGGAAATCTATAGAGAGGTCAGTGTTCACGGTCAGAGACGGAAACAGAAATCCTGAATATAGCAGTCCTTTAAGGAGGTTCAATTCCAAAGGTCCGATCATCTTACAAAACCTTGCTGACTTTGACAAGGCCAACAAATCTGCCGAGTCAGCGTTTACACATTCTTTGTTTTGAAAGTTTACATTTGAACTGAAAAAAACTCCAATCCCTCCCAACATTTCATTTGTCTTTTAGTTATCTACAATACACTTCTGCAGGCCTAAGGACGTTGCAGTATTGTTCTGTTCTGTCTTTTGTCCATGTGTTGAATTTCTCTACTGGGGTCTAAACTGCAAGAGTGTTTGGCTCTAATTGAATGATTTCCTGCCAAACACGATGCGTTGTGGGATAAGTTCTGATGCTCAAAGCAGCTGCAGAGAGAGGAAGCTGGGATAGAGGGCTGATACACCTCCTGCCTCAGAGGCTCCCAGGATCCCTGGAATAAATCAACCATATTTCACAAACCAAATACCTAATGACATTCAGAGAGAAACACCCAGAACTATTTAACCTACTCAGCACAGCTCCAGAGGGTGCGTGTGCCAGAGCCAAAGCAGGTCATAGTTCCTGTTCTTTAGGTTATTATTTTTTAAAACAAAGCAGAGATCTGTGTGTACAAAACAGACCGTGTGTGTTTGATATTTTACATAGTTAGATGTGGCAGATAAAATATACCAAGGTACAAAAAGGCCAACTTGAATTGGACCGCAATAACTTGTGAATTTCTTATTTAAGACTTTGGGAAATAGGGTAGTGATATCACACCGACATTTTACGATTTTATATCTTAAGTGTTTGAAGTCTTTTTTTGTAGGATTTTTACTTTTAGAGTTCGGGCAGACAGGAAATAAAATGCTACCAACTATAGGCCAAATGACCTGTGGAAAAAGGTTCCTTAGTCATAATCCCCCAATAACCAATTGAAAACCTTTTATAAATGAAGGAAAACAGCATGGGACATACCACTGAAGGTGCTAGCGAAGGAGAAGCTGGGGTCATTTTACATAATTAGATGTGACAGATAAAATATACCAAGGTACAAAAAGAAAAAGGCCAACTTTAATTTGACCGCAATAACTTGCGAATTTCTTATTTAAGACTTCGGAAAATAGGGTATAACAACAACATTAGGATTTTATATGTTAAGTGTTCGAAGTCTTTTTTTTATAGGATTTTTGCTTTTACTTTTACAGAATGGGCAGACAGGAAACAAGAAGAGGAAAAAGGGGTGCAACCATTTTTCAATAAAATGGTACCAACTATAGGCCAAATGACCTGTGGAAAATGGTTCCTTAGCCATATTCACCCAATAAACCAATTGAGAAACGTTTTAGAAATAAAGGAAAACAGCATGGGACATACCACTGAAGGTGCTAGCGAAGGGGTAACTGGGGTCATGTGGAACCTTCCCTCGTCCATTCTCCACATTCGTAGGATCCATGGCGAACACATGCTGTGGAAGAAAGAAACATGCATTAATATCATGAATTCTTGCATGTGGTCTATAAGACAATATGTTTCAAAGCAGGCTGTTTTGGTATTTTAGATATATTTGTCCTTCCACTGAACTTCATGTCTGTCTGAGAACTAAGACGCTGTCTGAGAAACGGAAAATGCAGGATCATCGTTGCTGCCAGAGTTCTGACAAAAAGTGTCACACATGGTTTCCAGTGCAGATTAATCCAGAGAGCCGGAGCCAGCAGGGTGACAAAGAAAAAATTAATTATAACATAAAAACTACAGCTAACATACTAAAACTAATTCTGACAGTTCAAGTAAAAACAGGATTCCTGACCCATAGTGTCATAAAACTCACTCAACACATACTGGGCCCTACAGTAACTGACCAAGTAAATACATAAAGCCATAATCCATGACATTTACATGTAAAAAGGTTTCCCTACATCTTGCCAACTTTACAGAACCAATAGCAGATTCGTGAATCCATTTTCTGTTTGCTTTGAGGAGCGCCACGTTTTGTTTTTCCAAGAAACAATGTTGAGCTGCATAGGAAGTGATGTTTTCAGCAGCAAGCAACAATAAGATAAGAAACTGAGAATAATCAATGAAAAAATCAAATGTAGGTTAAAAAAAGGGACTGGAGCAAGTAGAGCAAGTAGACAACTACAATTAACATAGCGGTTCCTTTGTCGTCATTAACCAGTGAGTTGTGTTCACCAGATAAACACTGGCCACATCCTTGGATTGTGTGATTTGCCAGGTCGAAACAGGGTCACTGTGGACAAAGGACCTTTTTGTTTTTAGCCTCTCTACACCCAGGTCTGCGACATCTGGGTACCAGGCTGCTGGGCGTGATCAACGCGAGTCCAAAAGTAGTAGACTTTCCAGAAAAAAAGGAATGGAAGGCGACAGGACCTACAGCAAGACGTCCTGTGTGATTACTGATTTAAATGTCCTTACAGTGAACTGTGTGTGTGGGGGGGACTCTCTGTTCCCCTTGCAGACAATGGAGTATTGTTACTGGGGGGTGAGTCTTTCTTTGGAAGGAGATCACTGGGGAGATGATGACATTGAAATCAGCAGGACAAAAACAGTGGACAATACGCACTCCCACGCACATTAAGTTTTGTACGTGCACTCAAACTCGTGCTGAGCAACATGGATACGGCAAAGTTTAAGTCTTAGAAACACACTAAAAGATTATATATATAGTGGCATGTCCAACTGGTGTCAGGAAATTAAGTGAGACAGTTCATTTCTTATTATATCCACATGTAGCGTTTTTAATGTTTCTAAGTAGGTTTGAATGAGCTTCACAGGTTTCAAAGTGCACATGTACAGCCCACCAGCACACACATTGCTTATACATACCATCACACTTCATTACATTTGATATGATGAGGCCTTTTTTTAAAGAACTCTGAATCTTGTCTTGCCCTACATCATTCCAGGCCAGTAAATCAAGGTAATTTATCAGGATTTATTTTGTCATTTTCACTTCACTCACGGTTTGATTATTTATACATCCATTTTAAAGTCGTACCACATGTATTTCCTTAGTTTCAAATGCTCCATTTAAAGAAAATGGCATCTACTGACAAATGACATGCAAGACGAAGATGATAGCTTCTGTACTAACGAACACATTGTTTTATCTCATAGCGAAACTGAACCATAAAAGGTCTTGAGGTATATCAATGTTCATTGGGTTTATTATCGACCATTAAACCATTTCCCTTCCTTCTCACATGAATGTTTTCATTCTTTCTCTATCTTGAATTTCTACTCTTATTTCCATCTGCTCTCCATCTCATTCTCTACCAGGGTATATTACTTCCCTCGTTAATCATCCTTATTCTTTTTGACACGTATTCACTGTTTTGTAACGGAAGTTAACATCACTTAATCTCTGTCTGAACATTCGTACATGTGTTCTCGTACACTTCAGTGTCCAACATTTCAATGCACATCTTATACAATATATTCAGGGCTGGTTTTTGGCATAGGCGACATAGGCGGTCGCCTAGGGCGCCAGATCTGAGGGGGTGCTGCGCTAGCTCTGGGAGGGAAAAAAACATTTTTGACCGTTGGTGCTCATCCTAATTTTCGGCCTTGATGTAACAACATTCATAATTAAGTAAATGTAACACCCTTTTCACCCCGGTTACACGTTTCATTTGCCCTGTACGATGGGCGCTGTAAGTGATAGGGGATGTTGGCTTATCAGGCGCCTGCAGCTCACAGCCAAAGTGCGAGTGAGCGTGGGAGCGAGCGAGGGAGAGAGAGAAGGCGAACCGCTACCGGTGCTGTTGTTATTAGCATCTGGTGCTAGCTGCTCTAACGGATATAAGAAGAAGATGTTTCTAGTACAAGGGTGGAGGAGAGCTCTCTCCTGTCAGACTGAGAGGCTCAGTGAGGTAAATGACTCTTGAGTGTTTTAGATAGTTAACTTTAGTCTAAGTTATCTCAGTGGGTCTCAAACGTTTTGGTCACAATATACAAGGCACTCCTTTATAATTATTGGGATAAAACAGGTTTGACTTCTTTCAATGTATACTATAGGACAGTAAACCAAAAATATTGTTTAAAACTGGAGAGATAAAAAGATATGCATAGATAAATAAATGTTTATAGGTAAAATAAGATATGAATGAACAACAAAAATAAAATAAGTCACATTTATTTGTTATTGGCTATGGTAGGTTATTGGTTATGTTCACATACTTATTTGGTTATTATAGCTACAATCTTGCCTAGGGCAACCAAATTGGCTAGAAACCGGCCCTGAATATATGCAACAGACTGTGCCGTTTGTGTGTGTGTCTGTGCTATCTCATAATGATCCGGAGGAATGCTGTGGCTGTCGGTTCTGTGGGCAGATTTTTCTGTCAAAATCGCTTTGGCCAAACTCTGCCAAGATAAATACATAAAGGTGCTGCTGTACATGGAGAGAGAAAAGACATCCAGGCCACTTTGTACTCGGCTGTGCCAAGCAAAATACATCAGCAGCGTCACTACAACACAAATTAGATAAGTGACTACTGACACATCTGCATGCACAATTGCGTCAACTTGTGACAAACTTCAATTACTGTCTTTCCATTCATGAGCCTCTAAACTATCCATTATATGACCATACCATTTTCTAAAATCAAAACCTAATAATGGCCACCATCTTCACTCGATATGAGTGAAATGAAAACACACGTTTCCTCATATGGTGATTAAAGAAACACTTGTTCAATGTAATACATGCAGTCACAAGACAAAGTGGCATTTACAAATAAATCTTGCTTTGTCTTTTCTGGTAACTGCTTTCTTGCTCTTGTTGTTTGGATTGTCAAACCGCTGGCTAGATACAACCACTCCAGAAGTTACTTTGTGTATTAAAAGGTATACAAGAACAAATATATATTGTTTTTAAATTATAGTTTTTGTAGGGAGGTGAAAAAAGTCAAACAAATTGTCACAAAATAATATAATAACAAATAGCAAGGACTAGAAATTGAGCAAAGATTACAGAAAAAGCTGACGATGTAAAATAAGAATCTATTCATCTCAAGTTTGAAAGCTTTTACCCAAAGGCAACAAATATAGGAAAAATAAATTGGTGATTTATAAATAATTCATTTTTTATTATACTTTAAATCTATTTATTCTTCATCCACTTATACTTCATACTTGGCTCTGCTGAATAGCTTTCTCCCCCCGAAGGACTTAAAAAGTGTCCCGTAGCACTTACAGAGGTTGTCATGGAATTCTGCCATCATAGTGAGAAGAAGTGAGTAACTCTGCGAGTGACTTTCTGAGTACCAAGAAGCAGAACTGCTGAGTAAATGTGGGCTTTTACAACAACAAAAAAGCATCTGAACTGCTTTAGGTCTACATTATGAAACTATAGAGGATGCCAGTCGGCTATCTGTGTGTTCATTGTGTGTGTTCAGCAGTTTCTCTTAAAATATCTGCTTTGCTGTGTGTGTTTCAATCTGTGTGCCTCTCTCCACTTTTACTTCCATATATTTATATTCATGCTTTACTATGCATGTCTTTCATCGTGTTTGTGTGTGTTTCTGCCTGTGTCGCTACATATTTATATGTTCGAGTTTGTTTCATTTGTTTAGTTTGACTGTGTGTATATTAATGTTTGTGTGTGCATGTGGGGTATAGTCCTCTGTATGTCGTCACTGTACTATGGTGGTTTATTATTTTTATATCTATGACACTGCTCAGGCAGCTGTGTCACTCACCATCGGCAGTCCAGTGTGTGTGTGTGTGTGTGTGTGTGTGTGTGTGGTGTGTGTGGGGGGGGGGGGGGGTTGAAAGAAGAAGTGAGCCAGAAACACTTAGACTCAAGACTTCCATTAAATTAATTCTCACATGGTGTTCATCTTGATTATGCAAACATATGAACATTTACACATTGGTATCACACTTAAAGAAGGAAATAAAACATGGAGACTCATTTCTTCAATCTTAAACAACATAATAGTTTAGGTGAATCGGAAATATTGTACTTTTCGTCCTCCCAGAATTCTTTGAATATGAACTACTGATGCACTTTTCAACATAATGTCAATTTCTCCTCATGAAATGAAGTTAAGATACTGTAAGCTGACACTAGAGAACGATAACAGTTCCAAGAACTGTTTCAGAGGATTGCTGACCATAAAAGAAACCTTTCTTCAGTTCAACTTAGCTGGTGTAAAACGAGCCCAATCATATTGTTTTTTGTGCTACTTTTTTAAGGTTCTGCGCAACATTTGGGTGACAATCCACAACACAAACCCAAGACCAAGAGAGGTGGCATGTGAGAGACACGAAAGATTGTGTCTGTCTGCCCCTTACTGAGATGAAACACCTAGAAGGTCAAAGGTCATCCCACCCAGAGTCCAGTCCGAGGGCTCGCGGTCTGGGTTCCCTCGAGAGGTCAGAAAAACAGACGGGTGTGTATTTTCCACCAGTTAACGATTGCCTAAATAAATGGACAGGCTCCCTGTAGTGTCGTCCATTCTCACAGACACTCGCACACAAGCTGGAGGACAACTGGTATCTGAACATCAGTCAGGACAGTGAGGTGTTTTGAGTTTTAACACACACACAGCACAGCTGACATAACCTCGGAGTCGTTTCATGCGCACCTGAGCATGCCAGATACAAACAGTAATCCCTGGGGAAAATAAAACCAATTCCGCAATGTGTGATAGCTTTGGGACATTCCCCGTCATAAGCTAGTCAACAACTGAAGGGTTTCAACACTCATGACTAAAACTCCTTTACTTATGGAGATTATGGGTTGCTCCAAACCAATACAAAAATACCCAACATTTCTTGAATCAACTAACGCTAACACTATACATTCCTGGCAAGTCAGCACTAAATTCCATAGATCATCTTTGTTGGAACCAAGATGACATAAAGTGGAATGAGATAACAATGAAGACGTAAAATGACGTTTCTAAATGACAGCTGGAATAAATGATACCGAAGATGACCAGTTAAAAACGATGCAGTGTTAAAACGAATTGCCATCTGCAAAAAGGGTTGATTTCATAAAGAGCGGATTATGACGAATCTCAAAGTTCAGGACTTGACTCAGGATTTGTCTGGTCTTGACATGCGAAGAAAATGACTTGGTCCCACCGCTACCTGAAACCTGTGCATGCTATTTTAGTCTTTTCATCTTGCACCTGCAGACATTTGTGAGCGAGGTCCACAGCCAACCTACACATTTCACAAACCCACTCTCATTTACTGAATCACTGCAACACAACCCAAATACATATAGGGTTTGATAGGTTGCCCATCGTTGATTAGTTCAAGTGGATTGCGAAACAAATCCTGGACACTATATCACTGACTTATGTATTCCCAATTGACGTTTTTGATGTTCTCAACTATGCAGACCACAAATTGTATAAATTGTATAGGCTTAAAGTGAACCGCACGAGCAGAGGAAGACGTGAACTTTTGATCATGATTTATAATACAACCCATTGTCCAAAAACCACACTGAGGATGACAGACTGGAACAGAGAGGCAGAAAATGGCACACACACTGACAAGCAACTAAACCCACCCAAAACATAAAACAGCAATTCACCTTCTATACTTAAAGTGCACTCACATACACACACTCTTCTGACTAAATGTTGGCACTCTCCCACCCAAAAGTCTAATTTCCCTTCCTGCCAGCATCTAGCTTTTCTCTGTCCTCATGCCCAGTTTGACCCCCCCCCTGGCAGCGCGGCCACACTGGGCTGCGTTCTGGAGAACCGCTGGGGAACAGGGATCTGCGAGTCTTTCTTAATAGCTCTATTCATTGATTCTTGTCTTTCAAATGGCTCCAAGTGTGAGACTCAGCAGAGGGTCCCACTGAGCTGAGTTGCTCACAGAGGGCCAGCCTGTGAGGTTGAAAAGACTATAGAGGACCGTAGGCTGCGGCTGAGTGGCCCTACAGAAAGACTCGTGGCGGGGCTGCCTGCTGAGGCTTAACCTTGAACCCCGGGGATCTGGGCACGGCCAGTATTCTGAGCTGTGTTTTGGCACCTACCATAATGTGTTCCATTACCTTGGGCTCCTCCACAGGATAGCTTACAGGCCACCCATTGATTCCTTATCATATCATATGCACAATTCTTCATATGTTTTATGATACAGTGGCATAATGTCTCACTACTGCAATATAATGCAGACATTTCTTTATGGCTGAAAACTAGTTAGACAGCCATTCCTCGTACATTTCTCAACTTTATTAACTTTGGATTCACTTTAGTCAGCATGGATTTACTAACTTGTCTGGTGTTATAGAAACACTTTAAATGTCATTCAGCAATATATTTGATTCAAACATGACACTAAATGTAATCATAAAAGCCTAACTGCCAGAGTGTTTATAGTGGCTGTCCAGCCCTGAAGTGCATGCCAGGCACAAAACGTTGTTATCCTTTTCACATAAAACGTAATGTCTCTGTTTAGTTGTAAAATATTTTTCTTACAATGCTGACCCAACCAGAAAATGATCATCAGACTTAGTTTTTTAAAACTCTTTCAGTGCATTGTTTTGGTATTCTAGTCCGCACATTTTCTGTGTAGTCCTACAGCTTTCAATAATACCCCATAAACCATAAATCCACTTAGGAGCCGTTTCCCCCCACATATAAGTTAACTTTTCACTGTACTAACCCAACAGCACAAACAGTTAGGCATGATTACATGATTGCTGGTGAATATATAACCATTTAGCTACCAAATATTGTTTTCTCACTAGGTGGTGGGGACCAACGCAGAAAATGATAGTGAAATTGGACTTTATTTTATCGTGTGATTGGAAACATGTTCATGCTGTCAGTTGAGATCTACAGTATATTCATAGTTTCCAATGGCACTTTGTAAGTGTTAATATAAAGTAGAGCAATGACACTGGCACATTCTTGTTAAGGAGTGACAAAGTACTTAACCAACCTTAAAGTCACTTCTTTTTTTTTTTACAGTTTTCAAGCATTTCCATCAGGAAATGGAGACAGATTTCTGCAGTACAGCATACCATAATAAAGTCCTCAATTTTTTTTTTAAAACAGTATATCACATTTTATAAATACTTATTATTTTTATTATTTATTATTTATTATATTGTTTTTGTGTGGGTTTATGTGCGTATGTTCTGGTGTATGAACATCCCTCAATTTCTTGTCCCCCAAGTTCTGCACAGCAACCACCCCCTCACACACACACATACAAACACTCTTGCTTCACACCGGCTTACCTCTCCTCTGTGCCCCACGTTTGATGAAGGCACACATGGGCTGGAAGGCCCCGGTGCCACAGGCCAGGAGGTGGGTGCGGTTGTAGGGCTGCAGAAGGCGAACAAAGTTGGCACACTCGGTCTGCAAAACAAAGATACATACAAACAATTTAAAATATTGTCTCAAAGAACTATGGGAAAGGTACAATATGTTGTATCAAAAGTGTTGCTATTTCTGTTTAATGAAGTTCACTAAAACAGAGCTATGTCAAACGTATTGTAGTTCCTGTTGTATGTGGTTAGACAATTATTGATTTGGATACTGACCCTACAGATAAAGAACCAAGTATAGCTTACATGGTCCTTTATTTAAAACAGCTGAAACAATGAGTAGTTTGCTATATTTTCATGGTATAGCAAGATATTTCTGCCCAGACACAGGTAAATAGTCATGCGTGAACGCAGGTGACAGCACACAACACACACACCACACAGACACACAACACACACACACACACACACACACACACACACACACAACACACTACACACACACACACACACACACACCACACACACACACACCACACACATCACACACACACACACACGCACACACACACAACACACACACACACACACACACACACACACACACACACAACACACACACACACACACAACACACACACACACACACACACACACACAGGGAAGGGCCCCTTAAACTAATCAAATCACACGGTGCAAAGGTAACTGTAATCCAAATGTAGATAAGTTGATTTTCAGGGTACTGAAGAGAACCAGAATGATCCTTAGCGAGGCTTATTGATCCCACATGTTCATAATGAAGGCCGAGAAAAGAGCTTTATTAGAAGAAATGTGATATCCTCAGTGTCCCACGTAGGACTCATATCTCAGATTTTTGGATTCCAGCCAACGTGACATGCTGATGTTGTAAAGCAAGTTTCAACACAAACGAGTCAAAGGACTTTGTAAAGCATCAGAAATGCTTTGATGCCAAAATAAAAATGTGAGGGATAATTAAATATGAAATGTTTTGAGTCATACGGGATATGAAGACACCAACGATAACTCTGATTTTAACTTGAATAATGAATACGTAACATACTCAGTTGCTGTGTGTTTGCCGAGCTTAAAATGGAGACAGGCCTGAAATGGAAAGAAGGATATTCAAGTGGAGAATGTCAAAAGGCCATACACTCAAACACACTTAAGAACAAAATAAGTGATGACTGAGGAAACAAGTATGGAGACGTTTTTCTGCACTAAACAGATGTCCAAAGGAAGCAGAGGGCACGACTACTTCCTTCTTTGTGTCTGTGAAAGCAGCAGCTGACATAATGGGTGTTTAGCGGGAAAGAAAGGGATCGGCCGGCCGACATTCTCCCAAGTGGACGAGGTCAAACTCATATCTGCATTGTGGACTGTCTGGCTGTTCAACATGGGTGCATGAATGGAGATGAGGCACATGTAATCAAATTGTGCATTGTTCTTTGTCTAAAAAAGGGAGGAATTACTATGCTAGTTTTCAGGGTTAGGGTTCCGTTCAGTTTATGTTTTAAGCCCAACTTCGAACAAATATGGCATGCACCAACGTTTTGAGGTTGACTCAAAAAGTTGGTGACTATACTCAAATGAGGGTTGGTATATGAGCATGCATGAGGCTACAAAGGGGTGTGCAACATCTTAATGGCTTGTTGAATCTCCTGTTTTTTCCGATCTAGGCAAGCGCAACCAAACTTTTTGGAGGGAATGCATACAGTACTTAAATAAGTACGTTTTCCCGACTTTAATAAAATGTATTTTGTGAGATAATGACCTTTCCTTGATTTTTGACGCATAGACATGTGCTTGTGTAGTAGACTAGTCTCTGTGTTTTTTACAAGTGCATGTGTGTTGAATGGGTCTAGTAAATCTGTCATTTTGTGTGTGGCCCACGTCCCTCTCAAACGCTCATTTCCTCGAGTGCTTTGCCGGCGCTGCAGAAGATGTAAACCATGTTACTTCAGTACGAAAAATAGTTTACATCCACATTGCTCTTTCCTGCTGGCTCATTACTCCTACCCAACAAAAACCAGACCAGTAATAAACTACACAGACAATTGCTCTTAAGTACATGCAAGGAGTATGTTGGAATCTCTTGTGCCCAGTATGTTTCTGTTGAGGCAGGGGAGGATGCTGATGAGCACATTTGACATTTTGTTTCCTTCTAATTAGTTACCCCCAAATCATACCCTGGAGGGAAATGTTAAAAGCTGGACGGTACATTAGGTCACAACATCGTTATAGAAGATATATGAGGTCTTTAAGATCCAAGTGGATTTAGAATGAATAGAATTATGTTACTCCTATGTTTCCGTTCTACTGCGCAGGGAGTCAGCTCTTAGAGATCTGTGTGGCCAAGGAGAGCGAAGAGTGGAATGAAATGTTGAAAAGAAGAATATATGCCTCTGCTCTCCTACTGTGGGATTTTGGGGTTAACGTGTCTGTGTGGTCCTTTCTCTGATTAAGTGGCTATAAAGGGACAGTGGATGTGGCTAAACAGAATATGAAGTGGTTCAATTGCTAAATATGGTTTTGTCTCACTGGGCGATTTTAGGGAGTAGTCTTAAAATCGAGCCAGAATTCAAATGGATTTTTTCAATCACTGCATTTATAGCCAATGTCATTGCTGTTAGAAACAAAAGCTTGCAATGTTCTTTTGTAACCTTTTGAATATCAAGGGGATGTTGGCTGACCACAAATGCTCCTTCCTAGCAAAGCCAAGCTGCTGCTTCACATTGTTTAAACTTTTAAACTGACCACAGTGTCATGGGGTTAATAAAGGGTATGTATAGAATTGTAAATATCAAGTTATAACCACATTTTGCTTTTAGACATATCTCCATTAACATAACACAAACAGGAACATTAGCAAGACTCTCCTGGCCTTGACAAATGGAAATACTGAGAGGATTTCCAAGGAGTATGCTGATTATGGCAAATACAACAGGAGGAGAATGTGCGTCCAACAAAAGTTAATTTGCATATGAAGGTGTGGAAAAATAACAGCAACATTTATTCCCACGTTACAAACAATTGTACTTGCCGGTTGAGTAAACATTTCCAGTCCAATGGTTTGATTAAAAGTTTATTTGACATCTGAATTTGTCATGTTTTCCAGATATTTGAAAGAAAAAAATGTTGGCTGCTGTAGCGGAGAAGGTGGAGACAAATGTATTTTTTCAAGACATAAAAAAACGGTCTTATGGTAAATGTGGTCTTTATTTTGAGAAAAATAATATGAGCAGTAACAGGCTACAAACCATTTTCATTATAGTCTGAATTGTTTAACGTAAGTATAAACCCAGCATCATAATTTGGCAGAGACACATTCATTATATGTAATTTGTAATGTATCAGGAATTTGCTCAAGGACCAGGAAAATATCTCTCATACTATTCTCCTTCCAAGTTTATCCAGGACAGGCTGACAGTTCTGAACTCTGCACCTCTTTGCCACATCATCGAATACACGTTATTGATATTACTGTAGATTAAACAGGGTTTGCAAAAATAGTGCACTGATGTAACCCTAATAAGGACCTAAAGGGACAAATGGCAATGTCATAAGAACCAACTAACTGACTAAGAGGCAGTATTATATTCTCCTCTCCTTTTTTGTTGAATGCCATTGTTTTTTTTGTTTTAAATCTGAAAGACATTCTGATTTGCCAGAGTCGGAATCATCCACAAGCTAGAAATGTTATTGGCGATTTGGGAAAACCCAGCTTTTGGTTCTAGTACATCAACATAGCATGTTATCCTAAAACAAAAGTAAAGAGAACAGAGGAAGTTTGGGCCAAAATGTGATGAATGACTTCACTTTCTTGGTCGCAGCCAGTTTGTGAGCAAAGTGGAAGAGCTAACATGGAGCTAACAGCAAAGAGAGCTGTAGCTGCTCAACATGTTTCTGTGACGAGGTGACCCGGGCAGGGAGAAGGCAAGTTTGGGAAAAATGGAGAGCAGTTTCCAGTATAAACAGCCCATGTTCAGTGGAGAGAAGTCTGATTCTATAATACAAACAGGAAACGAGGACCAACACATTAAGATTTACACACACCACACACACACACACACACACCACACAGACACAACACACACCACACACCACAACACACACACACACACACACACACACACCAGCACACAACACACCCCACACACACAACACACACACACACACACACACACACACACACACACCACACACACACACACACACACCACACCACACACACACACAATATGCACTTTTACAAGGCTAAAGTCACTAACAAACACAATCACAAACACAGAAATATCGTAAACAAAGTTCAAAGCCGGACAGCTGGATGAACCGGCCTCTTCAAGTCTTTGGTGTCAGCAGTTGTTTTATCCTCAAAGAAACATGTTTTCTACTCTCCACTGACTTCCAGACATCACTGAAAACACTCAGTCATGGCAAGAAACTGTTGCCAAAGTGCATCAGAGGATTTTCCCCCAACATATACCAGCTACTCCCACCATGCTAAATAGTCGAATAATTATTTTAGGATTCCAAAAACTAAAAAACTGTCACCTACTTGGCTTTCTAGCCGTAGAGCTGGCAACCAACCTTAAGCAACATTTTGGCAGTGGAAACAGACCACACTGTGTCTCTTTCCTATGAGGTATTTCTTCATCAATATTAAAAGAAGCTGCTGTGTCTCACACAAATCTGGGCCTAAATACAGTATAGCTGTTCTTTGATGTATTATACCAGTATAAACAGTAACACATCACATTTGTGTATGGATTGGAACACACATAATGTACCAATGCACAAGTCAATATAGAGAATGACTGCATAGTGCAACTTCAATAGCTAATGATTTAGTTCATTTTGTTGTCAACAGGAAAATGCTTTTAGGGATTTCTGCTGCTTCTGAACAAACTTTACCATACTTTTGTTTTCCTACAGTACTGCAGGTACCAACTTGTCTGGCCCTTTCTCTCCAGCAGTGTTACCTATAACAAGTGTAAAGATATAACACAAAAAACACGGATTATTTAGGGCTCTTTTATAAAGTTAGTCTAAATAAATATTCTTGTTCCAACTATTACTCTATGTTTTCTAATCTCTAAAGTCTTCTTTGAGTTTTGGAAAGCTCTAACAAATCAAACGTACTATGTTTGGGATTTAAAAACATTACATTCATAGACAACTATTTATACCAACATTTATAGTTGGTAAGACATGAGGACACAAACCTCTGACCTTAAGACGTATTGCTGCAGTATAACTTCTCTTTTTGTTGCAGTACAGTCTCTCACCTCCCTACACTCAGACACCAAAGATTCAAACTAAAGTGGAACCAATAACAGCTCTACTGATAAAGCCAAACCATGAGGGGAGGCAGATTACTGGCACTACCGAGCTTGTCTGTAGAGAACAAAACACAGAACTAAGTGTACAAACCAGTGTTTTTAAATTCAGAGTACTGACTTGCATGCACAATGCCTCATTTTATTTTCTCAAAGCTGTATTATTCACACTCAAAATGGTTGATTTGTTCCCTCTGCTATCCCCGTTCTACACCAGCAAAGTTTTGTTTGTTTGTGCTTTATTATGTAACACAATTGCACAGCATTAGAGATGGAGAGAGCAACAAGCTGATTAAATAATCGACCCAATTATATGCAAACAATGCCGATCGAAGCAGAACAATGTGTTAACAGTGAGAGCAAGACACTGCATGCTCGGGTGAATTCACTGAGTGCTTCCCTTCAGCCTGTTATTTATTGGTCCGAGCTGTAATTAATGATGGAAAAGGTCACAAGGTTGCGACTCTGGGATGGAACGCTGGCATTAGATACAAGTTTAAGGTGGTAGACACTTGTTAGAAGGCTGTAAAGACATAGGCTTTCATTAAAATGTAAACAAAAAGGTCTCACTTTTAATGTCAAGTTGTGATATTGAGATAACCAAGACGTTCATGTGCTTCATGGACTGGTAATGTTGCTCTCCTTCTTTCTGTCTGTCTCTTATGAATTTTTTTCTCCATCATCAAACACACACACAAACGTCCAAAAAAACAATGTCAAGACCTTTCACCTTTCAACAGCAAACATATGAGATGAAACATATGTGTGTGTCGTGTGCGTGACTTTTGCTTTGTAGATGCCAGAGGATACAGCAGTAATCAATCTGATGTGACACCTGAAAAACTCTCAAACATAGAGACGTGAAGGAATGCAGAAAGATGCCGAAAAAACAACATCTATCTGTTTACTCACACACACACACAGTCACACACACCACACACACACACACACACACACACACACACACACACACACACACACACCACACACACACACACACACACACACAACACACACACACACACACACACACACACACACATCTTTATGACTCCTTTGGCACTTGTAAGGTAGAGTTACACACATACTTTTTTAAGACCTGTCTAATAATGCAAAGTGACTCCTCTCCACTATGGACAGTACAGTATAGTGCACACATAGTGTCCGTGAAAAGCCAAGCGCAGAGGAAACACCTAATAAAACTGATATAGACACCCAAGACACACCTGCCACTTCAAACACAGAGAGCATATTCCCTTACATTATAGACACACACACACACACCTTTTAACCCATTCCAGATGGTGCTAGCTGTCAGATTTCTGCCAGGGTGGCATAAAAAGTCACAGACCTATAACAACGTGTACAACAGTGTCTTCATCTTGTGTGTGTGTTTGGGTGAGTGTGTGTGTGTCATTTACTATATGTGTGTAAACCTTTATATATACAGTATATGGTGTAAACCAGTAATTAGGGCAGGTTTATGTATTCTGTGCACCACTAAGGCCACTGAGAGCTTCTTCTCCAACTGGGACCAAATGTAACGACGTCTCAGTACATCAAAGAAAAGAGAGTTCATTACAAAATCTCTTCCTTCCCTTTTATTTTAATTCGGCATTTATTTTCCTATATCCTGTCAGTGTTTTATTATTACTTGCTTTATTATTTTCAAGACTTAAGAGCCTTACACTGCCCGAGTGTAACGTGTTAGAATGTGATAATTATCACTATATACAAAGTACAGTACAAAGATGGTATCTGAGATACTATGGTTATGTACCAAAGTATTGAACATATTTACATTTGCCCTAAGAATGGTGATTATAAATGGGATCAAACATTGCAATCCATCCTACAATGGTCAAAAAAACCTTTCACTGGCCAATTTTCAAACTTCAAGGTAGCACTGGATTCAGCACCCAAGAGATCAACAGACACAATAGGCGTCATCCTCTGGGGACCATTACATGTTTGAACAAAATATAATGGAAGTCAACCAGGAAGTTGTTGAGATATTTCAGTCTAGTCCAAAGTGGTGGGCCGACCAACAGACTGGCATTACCATACCTAGAGTGACACTTCTATAACACATTTTCCACTACATTACCCTCTTTACCTCAGTAAATATATTTCTTTCCTGTTAACAAGTTTAATAACATTCTCTTCCCCTTCCCTTTCTATTAGCTACCTTATACCATATGTTAACCACCTCCAGGCTAACAAACATAAAGCTGAGTCAGCATGCTTGAAGGGGAACGACTCAAGGTACCCTGGTCCACTGATCTATTCACATGTTTTTTTTTCTTTACATTAGCTTCAGAATCATCCTCTCCTCATATATCTTGTCTTAAACATGATCGTAATAAGATGGCCTCTGCCCTTCCTTTGCTTGTTCTCTCTTTCAATTTGTACTCCCTCACAGAACTAATGAAATTCTTCATTCACTTACATTTACAATTTGCTTCTGAAAGCTTTCTATGTGTCCTGCACCTCTGCGTTCCTTTCTCTCATTAATAAAACAATGGCCTTTTTCATAGCAAAGTAGTTGATAGCTTACGGAAACATTTTAGGGAATGTGTTGGGAGCCAGCGTGGCACCAAGTTGTCTAATTATGCCATTCACTTTAAGCTTAGTTTGTAAATGCTCAAGGCACATTCTGCACTCCCCATCACCACATCTGTGATAGAGGAGATCCACAGAGCCAAATAGAGATGGACGTGGAAACAGGATTCAGCTGATGAGTAGTCAAAATCGCGGAAAATCGAAAAACCACCTTGACAAGCTATGGTTTGGTAGATGCTCGTGCCATGCTGAGAGCAGCTTCTCTGAATTCACTGGAGGCATTTTGGCAAACAGTATAGAACTGCTCAACAGCGTAGGTCAATGCAGTCTCCTAGTTTATGGAAAAAGCTGGGTCTGTTGGGTTTATTTTTGACAACATTGTAATATGTTTCAGTTATTGGAAACAGGGATGAGAATTTAAATGGAGACACCAATACTGGTGGAAAGAAGACAGGTAGACTTAAATACATGCAACAGTCAGCAAACAGAGAGGACATGGCAGGAAATATATTTTGTCTGCTACAGAAACAAAGCAACTGACAAACAAAAATGAAAACTAGCCTCTGACTACAAGCTTTTTACTTCAAGGCTTTTAGCTAATGAGAAGCAGTTGGTAGGCTGATTTCTAGGTCAGGTGATTTCTGGACCATAGGAATTGGAAGACATGTAAAGGGCAGGTAACGCAGAACACAGTATTAATTAACTAGTTGGGAGCATTCATTGTTAACATGGCAACCCTGTAAAATACGAGTTGAATTATATTCTCAACTACATTTTAAGAAAAGCTTATCTTTCGGCAGTTTCAATGTGGTTTGTGTTGTAATCAAAGGTTTTGGTTTAAATAAGCTCATTTGCTATTGACTTGAGCTACATACACACTTGATGAAAACGTACATACTTGAGTAAAAATAAGTCTACTTGACATTTCCTTTTACAAAGAACAGCATCTCCTGGGTAAAAGTCCTGATTGAGATTGATCTCCATCCATCCCGTCACTGATCTCCCCCTACGCCGACTTTAGCCAAGACTACTTGGTGTATTTTTCATGTATAAAATGTGAACAGTTAGGGAAGAACATTTGTCCCTTGAAAGGGTGTCAATGTATGGTAAAGTCATTTTAGAAGACCAGGATGTTTAATAGAAATGGTTAAAACAAGCAGGAATTAAAAGTCAGTCGGTTACCTGCGGTTCCTTTCCCCTCGTCTGAATGCATTCCTCTCTATTGCCGGGTAACGGGGGCCAGTAAATCTATGAAGGAAGAGAAAAGGAGAAGACAAAGAAGAAAAAAATGTGTGTGATGATTAATGACCTCATAACTTGAAAGTAATGCAAACATCCAATATATTCAACCGTATTGCAAAATGTAATTTCTTTGTTGAACTCATAAAGGCTTTATTTGACTCTGTTGATGCAATCAAAACAGAATAATCAGCCCATGTGTTGTTAAATCGGAATTATTTCCCCTGAAAATTGAGCTGAGCAGATGAAATATATATGTATATAAATATATATGATGAAACAGAGGTTTTGGATTCAAGAGGCGAGGGCTTGGATGCTTGTAAAGCCAAAACCTTGATTGAGACACGACAGACACATTTGTCATTACAGTTCTGTAAAGCTTGGAAAACATAGCATACCTCTAGGGTTGCCAAGCTCATTGTTTTTTGTATTTGTCTATGTTTTGTGATAATCTGTCACTGAAATTCTGCCTCCAAATGAACACATTAGGGGAGAACACTAATCACATCTGGAGGCAGATGTGTATCTTAAAACCTGAACAAATTAAACCCGATCTAACTGACTGGTTGGATGCCACTCTTTCATTATTTGGGTCAACTTGACGCTAAAAACAATTACCAAACTCAATAGTGCCAATATAACCAATACATTGGTTACATACGTTTGATACTGAGAACCATTTTTGTTCTTTCTATCTTTCCATACAATTTACCAATCCTAATTGGACCCTAAATACTTTTTTAACACATTTAAATATGAACTCAAACATACAACATACAAAACAGAAAAACAAGGAGTGTTTTTGATGTTATGAAACTTTAAGGGAGTTAATGTAATAATGTTGGCTAAAGAGACTCAGTTTCCTTCGGTGTCCGTCTTCTGTTTTGTGCCTAGAAATGAAACTCGACCTTTGGCTATAAACAAGCAGAAAATATGTGCTCAGCCAAACGTACAGAGTATCCTAACAAGACCATCTGTGGTTTTTAAAAACAGTATGAATAAGTATTATGCCTATCCATTTTTAACTCAAGTTCTCACAGAATAGATCCACTATTTCCTTCTGGGGAAAGTCCCAAAGTCTTCCTCTCCTCCTGCCAATTCATCAACAAGAGTGCTTTTCACATTAGTTTCGGAAAATGAAAAATGAAATCAAATTGCCACTGAAGAGGAAAGCCCAAGTCTTTCTACGTATTGAGTTGATGATGTGGGATATACTGTAGTTTTGTGCAGAGGATTTCTCTAAGACAATAAGTCTTTGTCTGGAAACTGGCTTTGTTTTGGCCAACAGGGAGAAAATAAACCATATGATAAAACAAATGGTCCTGACTTTCATTACTATGTCTGCTTATGTCCGGTGTATTGGGAGCATGTGTGGGCAAGAGGCCACTGTGGTATCTATAGGATTTAAAGGAGTGTGAAAGGTAAGTGATAAATGATATAACACAAATAGAGAGTTGTAAACATGAGTGACAGTTTCTCCTCTTTTCTCATCACACCCTACATTTCACAACAGCAGTAGAGTTCAGGAGGATTTTATCTTAACTGTTATACATCCTAATGTATCACAGACAGTGCACTTCTTGTCATGATAATTGAAACCTGGATCATAGAGTATAACATATCCTGTCCTGTAATAAAAATGGTGTGACATTTAAGAGCCTGGAATTATTTTTAACCACACCTTAATGTAAATGACATGTATTGCACTGCAAATTAAATGCACACTGTATAGTAGATAAAATATAACATAGGATAGATCAAATTGAGTTTGTATTGAATTTGCTAATGGTGATGCAGACTGCCTGTTGGCTCAACAAAGGGTATTTCATATGAACTAGGGGTGGAAGTACACATATCTGTATATAGACTTACAGCCTTGAAAGGCTCAAACCTGCCTAGTTGCACACAGCATTTTTCTATGTATTTTCTCACTCATATATTATTTTTTTTGTTTCGTGAATGTTAATAGGTCTTCTTTAAATCATCAAATACACATAACATTTTAAAATTGTTTTCTTTTTGTGTAGTCACACAACAAACAACACACAGAAAGTGTGTTATACTTTATAAGGAATATTTACGAGATAGGAAGAGTGGTAGCACTCTCATAACAGTTCAGTAACTTAGCGTACTGCATTAAAAACTGTAAAAAGAACAATTCATTGGTGTCTGGGAAGTTGTGTACTACAATATTTGTTGCTTGGGACCAGTAACTTCCTGGGGTCTCCACTGATCGCATTGCCTCAGGCAATTATAGCTGGACACTTAACTTTATTTATTAATTTGTTATCGCTTTAGAGGTGCCAGCAGGCTGAATTTATTTCCATTGGAATTGGCCAGACTGCTTCCACCTTTTTATACTCTTTTGTATTTTTAGAGAACATCTTAATTTAACTAGATTCCTTGCTTTAAGTATTTCCTATTGCGAGTTAAATCAGCAAATTTGAAACTACTGCAAATGTGTTTTTATAGACAGCAGAGTCACCTTTGCACCATCTGATTGTCCAACACCCAGCCTGCTTTTGTCTAAAACCTGGCTTGCAAATGTGGGAAACCATTAGAATTAATAATTTGTTTCATGCCTGACTGAAATGAATAAATAACTCAGTGCTGATCGAAAAACTAGGCTTCAACGGGTCATGATCTCTGGACCGGTTTCTTTGGCATGATGCTGTGCTGATATAAATGCGTGCCTGTCGAAAAGCTTGGCTCACATACACAATCTGATCAAAAGTATTCTGATGGCATACCTCACTGATACTGATAAACTGTGAAATCACGCCTTGCTCAAAACATGGGTCAGAGTACTGCGATATTCCATCTATCGTCCAAGAGTCTGGCTCCACACCCTCAAGGAAATATGGTTTTACTCCAACAACCATCCACATTCCTTCTCTGTTTAACTGTTTCCTGACACTTTGTGAAGGCTGACAAGTGAGCGGCCCGACCAAGTAAGGAGACAGAGGCAGAACGTCTGATACAACCCGGTGTGGGTATTTATTCATCTTTGGTACATGGTTGACCACATCGAATCCC